CAAGCGTACAGCCACAGCGCAATAAAAACAGGTTGGAATCGAACCGGGATCCGATCCACCCTGCCTCGAGCCCCGTCACGAACGCGCCGCGAATGGCTCCTTTCCTTTCCCGGTGGAAACTGCGTCCCGTCGCCCGTCCTTGCGATCTCAGGCCACGCGCGGCACAATCAAGCGACGATCATTGCGGCAACCTACCGAGCGGGTCCCCCGCCCCTGCCATCCGAGACGATTGGGGTGCAGCGTCAACAGAGTCCTAATCCTGGTCCTGCTGCTACTACCGCTAGCTCCTCCAAGCCCTTTTCCAAGCCGGTACTGGTCACGTACGCACGTAGGCAGGCATGGCATGGCATCGCTACCAGTTACGGAAAGGGACTCGGGCGCCCGGGGACAGCCTGATTGCGTGGTCGTACGTCGCGGTGGGGTGAGTGAAACCGGGAAGGAACATCCATCTTGTGTGCAGTTCAGAGGTCTAGGCCAAGAAACTCAGCGTGCTGCTGCTAGCACAGTGCGAGCGACGGCGAACGGCCGGGGTCGGGCAGAAGAAACCGTTAGGGATTGCTTGCTTGCTAGTGTCATCCTGAATCTTGGGCGTTGAATGATGTGATGGTAGCTACTCCGATACGGGAGGAGCTCGCTGTTCATCGGCCTTGACTCACAAGAGCAGCACGCAAGTTTCCATGTCGAATTGCTTGCCAAGGATGGATACATACTTCCTCGGTGACCGTTCCAAGTTCAGTCTGTTTCTGAACTATTGTCATGCTCTTGATGACCTTACACATGCAGGAATGTTTCCCTTTCCGCCGTAGTTGGCGAGTAAAACATGGGGGACTAGTAGGTCGTATTAGGCCAAATTTTGGTTTCACAAGAACCGGTTCAAACCGGGAAGTCCACGGAAAATCACATGCACTCCACTAAAGGAAGCGTGCGCGTGGGAACGCCATAGCCCAGCAGAAAAGGAGGAGGTTGAAACTCCACAAGGGAAATGTATAATTTTGTTGACGCGCTGACGCGCCGAGAAAATCTAGAAAAAGAAAATGTTAAACAAGATAGGGCAGAGCGTGCGGCCACGACCAGACAGACTCCAGGAAAGATAACGAAAGGAAAGGGCAAATCTCCGGGCCCAGCTGCCAGCCGCCCGCACGACCCATGAAAAACCGGTACAAGACCACCGAGACCAGGACGAGAGGGGAGGCGCAATAACCCCAACAAAAAGGAGCCTGCGTGCGCTCTCTCTCTCAAGCAAACAAACACTTGGGCATCGCATCGCATCGCATCCACGGAGCCAGCGGCGTCCAGGGCCAAGCACAGGAGGAGGAGATTGAGCTGTGGGAGAGCGCCCCTCTGCCGCCCGCGCGCCCCATGAGGAAATTGTGCCCCAACCTGGAGCGCGACGACGCGCTGGACACGGTGCTGGAGGTGCCCATCCCCGAGGAGATGTTCTCCGGCGCCGGCGGGGGCTCCCGCGGCTCCAGGTTCGGCTGCGCCAGCGTCAAGGCCTGGATGCGCTCGCACGCCGCCGACCGCTCCGGCGCCGGCGAGCCGTGCTCCATGAGCCGCGGCGAGCTCCAGCTCATGCTCGGCGTCATCGGCGCGCCGCTCATCCCGCTCCCTGTCAGCCACGCCAAGCAGTCACCCTCCTCGGTGCTCTGCGAGCAGCTCAAGGGCGATCCCATTGTACGTCCAGTTCTAACGACACAAGATTGGTTTTCTAGCTTCTGATGACATAAGAAGATTGGTTCTGACGATAATCGTTCGTGTGATGTGACTGAATTGGCATGGCAGGAATCGTCGTCGGCCAAGTACATAGTGCAGCAGTACATCGCGGCGTCCGGCGGGGAGTGGGCGCTGAACAAAGTGACGAGCATGTACGCGATGGGCAAGGTGCGGATGACGGCCGCGGAGCTCAACAGCAGCGACGCGGACGGCAGCAGCAATAATGGCGGCGCCCAGCGCGGCGGGAAGAAAGGCGGCGGCAAGGGCGGCGCCGGCGGCGAGATCGGCGGGTTCGTGCTGTGGCAGAAGAAGCCGGAGCTGTGGTGCCTGGAGCTGGTGGTGTCCGGCTGCAAGATCAGCGCCGGCAGCGACGGCAAGGTGGCCTGGCGGCAGACGCCATGGCACCAGTCCCACGCCTCCCGTGGTCCGCCGCGCCCGCTCCGCAGATCGCTCCAGGTGCGTATCGTACGAGCACACGTACACGTTACCGTTTCTCTTGCTGCCCCGTACCGTACCGTGGACGTGTTTTTTTGTACTCCCGTACGCGTACCGTATCCAAAGACTCTTACTAGCCACTATGCGTGGTCGCGTAGCATGCTACTGAACGCAATGAACTCTCACGTAGCTTAGCTTAGCTTAGCTAGGGCAGTGATTAGGCTTCACGCAACAACCAGACGAGCTTAAGATTTTTGATTGAAGAAAGAAAGAAAATAATTACCAAGTAGACAGCTTACGGCTGGACTGGTGATACGAGTCTGACGTTGCTAGTTGGTCGGACGTAGGGGGCGAGCCCATTGTTGTCATCGATCAATGGCTCTTAATTAGTGGTTGCCTTGTTGGTATTGCCGTATATGCTAACATGGACATGAACTTCTCTGGAAAAAAAAAAGCATGGACATGAACCAAGACGCTGACGCTTTGTACGCAAATTCGATGCCCGTATTCTTACGAGCAGGCAGGGTAATACTTTCGGACGGAGGGAGTAGTATCTGGGGCAGGCCGTACGCCGGGTGCAACACCATTATCATCGCTACAGTGTGTATGTCGGTGCGCGCGGTGTCGACTGTACCGCGTGCATGCGTAGAGGGACGTTGATCATCACCACAGTCCTACGTACACGTAGTACATGCATCGCCCCTGCACGCTGTCGGCGGGGCAGAGCGGAGGAGAAGGGATGTTAATTTCCCGAGCGCGCGCGCGCACGGGCCGGGGACATAATTACGCCTTTTGATCATTGGTCGTCAAGGTCTATGGACCATGTCGGGGATAAGATCGAATCGCGCTGGAGATCCAGGTATCTCGCCGGTACGTTACGTGGATTTGGGGCGAAGGACTCACTCGTCGTCCATCATTGCATGCCGCGGCGGTATCCTGTCGCTCGGACGCGCTTGCTTGGGAAGGTAATTAGTACTGCCGCAATGACGACATACCTATGGTTAGCGCGGAGGGCGCGGCGTGATTAGGGGGAGGGGGCCAACGTGCGGGCATGTGCGGCCGCCCGGACACACCACATGGACATGGGCCTCATCACTCATCACCCCCTCCGTCATCAAAATCGGTTGGTGATCGTCCACCCGACCCGACTCTTCCCGGTAATCGCGCCGCACCAACCTGATCGCGCAAAAAACTAGTCTGGTCTCGCCGCGTGCTCCGTCCACCGGACCCGTTCCCGTTGTTAATTTGACCATGGAGTCAACTCTCTACTTTTCGCACCTGCATGATCTGCATGCACGCGGCTGATGATTTGGGGTGGACAAATGAGTAGTGACGTGGAGCTGACGTGTGTGTTCTCTACGAATGGACGTGCAGGGGCTTGACCCGATGCTGACGGCGAGCCTGTTCGCGGAGGACTCGGTGTGCATCGGCGAGCGGAGCATCGACGGCGAGGACTGCTTCGTGCTCAAGGTGGAGGCGGAGGCGTCCAGCCTGCGCGCCCGCAACAGCAGCAGCGTCGAGATCATCCGCCACACCGTGTGGGGCTACTTCAGCCAGCGCACGGGCCTGCTGGTGCAGCTGGAGGACTCGCACCTGCTGCAGATCAAGTCCGGCGGCGGCTCCGTCTTCTGGGAGACCACCATGGAGTCGCGCCTCCGCGACTACCGCGCCGTCGACGGCGTCAACATCGCCCACTCGGGCCGCACCGCCGTCTCGCTCGTCCGCTTCGGGGACACGCAGGACGGCAACACCCGGACGCGCATGGAGGAGCACTGGGACATCGAGGAGGTCGACTTCAACATCTGGGGCCTCTCCATGGACTGCTTCCTGCCGCCCAGCGACCTCAGGGACGGCGGCAAGGAATCGCAGCAGCAGCAGCAGGAGGAGCTCGCCGTCGTCAAGGCCGCGCGCCCGCCGCCGCTGAGGATACCGGCCGTGGCCGTCGTCCGCGTAGGGCCGTCGCAGGTGGCCGCCGTCAACCTGGACGAAACGGAGTCGCTGCTTGCCAGATGATGATGGCATACCAACACCACCACAGAACACATAGTAGTACAATAGAGCTGTGTGTACCGTCGCAAATATCTACAAGATCTGTAAATATGTTTCAGGCGAGACTTTTCTTTTCTTTTCTTTTACCTTTTTGATGAGGTGTGGATAAAGCCTAAGCTAGAATTGGGAGTGAGCTTCGTACAGTAGTAGTGAGTAATTCGGACTAGGTGTATACTCTAATTATAGAAGATGTATTGTAATGAGCTCAACGAAGCTCCGTCAATGTAAATCTGAAAGAATCTCCCAGTTCTGCTTGGTCACATGATAGACAAAATAACTTGTCTTACAAAGCTTGCCTTTTCTGAAGAAAATGTAGGACGAGACAAAGCTTGCCTTCTTCTGAAGAAATTGTATGACGCCACAGGGACGGCTTCCTGGGAGCAGAGTGCACTAGGAAGTGTGGGCAATCAAGCGGACCGAGCTAACAGGAAACTGCAGTGAACAACACTTCTCTGAATAAGAATGTACTATCTCTCTAACTAAATATGAGTAATATAAGACCTTTTAGATCACTAGTAGTAATAAATAAGCATACCGTTACTGCATGGGATTGACTGTCAGTCACATAGAAGAGAGCACATGAAAGGGGTAAATAAGCACTGAGATGAGCCTTGCAGCAGCATCACATAGTCACATTTACATGTACAGCTAGCTATAGCTTATGCCTAAAGCCAGTTCCATAAGATTCTTGCCATGTGTGAGAATCGCACAAGGACCATTATATGTTGGCCCAGCAGCACTGCTCAAATTACAAGAGAAAAATGAAAAGAAACACATCGTTTTTATCGCGACAAGCTTGTTGGCTAGGCTCGCCCTACGGGAGATAGAGGTGGCTGACGCGGCACATAGCTGGCCGGAGCTCTACCTTGGCCGGCTGCTGCCATAGCCTTCAGCTTATGATCGGCAAAGACTGCATCGTCTTGCGAGGTTGGCAAATCGGCCTGCGTCCTCACAGGGCTCCTCCCATGAAGCATCACTATACACATAGCGAAGGCCTGAAGTAAAGCAATGGATGATCTGAATTCGACTGCATATAACCCTTCTTTAAACGAAACCATACTGAAGGCATGACGATCCTCCCGTGATCGACCCTGCAAATAAATACAGGTAAGGTTACATCAAACGTCAGTTGATTTGCTATGTCATGGCTACTGATATTAAATCATTGAAGCAAGCAAGAGTAGGGAAGCACAAAGGCACACCTGAGAGAGCAAGTCGAATCGATGGCTGCCATCCTGCGTTTGGTTCACCTGAATAGACTTGCATCCTTGGTTTCCTTGGGTGTTGTCGGTGAGGACACTCAGCGTGCAACCTTCATCCCACCCACCACAGTCACATGATCCTCTGGATCTCCACCTCTCCATCAGAGGTAAAGGCTGTCCAGAAGTTGATGCGCCGTGGAAGCCGTTCGGTAGTATGGCAATAACACTGGCTGGAGCTGAACTAGCATTTGTCATGTTACGGTAGATGTTTCCCAGAGGAGGGCAAGAGCAGCCAATTGGTGCTGAACTATCTCGGCTAGAATTCTGTGAAGATGATTGATGAGGACTTTCTACTGTTTGAGGAACTGCGCTGATAAAAGCCCCAATTTCCCTGCTAATGTGTGAATCACCAGGTTCCTCAGGTGTTGGTAGCAGTTCAGAACCAACCAGCACAAATTCCCTGTGCACATGAAAATCTTTTGCATGGCAGCATCTCGATTTTCGTCGTGAGATCCTCATTTCCCCAACAATACTGGATACCAACTGATGTTTCTTGTTCTTATTACCTGCTGTGATCCAAGCTCCACTCTTTTTCTTGGGCTCTTCAACAGTGAATAAAGTGTATGCACTTTCCAGATCATCCTTATCAGAGATGCCCTTCCTTCTCACAGTGGCCGCCAGGATATCAGAATCACCATAAGAAAGCATGAATAAAGGTAGGCCGTTTTTCCATGCTAGCTGAAGAAGCGCTTGCCTTGTTGTTGTTGAATCCCTTTCTTGGTTGAGGTACCTCTCACTGTTCAACAGCACACGAGGAGGCTGATTTATGTTTGCTTCAGCATGGTTATTTGAATTGACTACTGCATCAACTGACCTACGCTGCACATTTTGTGACCCGGACCCTTCCAAGTTAAGAGATTGCTTATTAATATTGGTTGACAGATGACACTTTGGAACAAATGAAGGTTGAGTTGGCGCAACAGAAGTGGATGATTGCCTAGGTTTTAATAGTGGATCTAACATCCTCCTTAATGGGCTGCGCCTACCTCTGCTGTTTGATCGCTTGTCCTCATTAATCTTATCCACAGAGGTGTCAGGCCGTCGAGGAGATGGTGCTTCCTTCAGGCTAGAGCATCTGTTCACTCCATTCAGCCCAGAAACAAGGTGGCGATCAGGCAGCACATCCATATCAGTGAACTTTGAGCTAATCATGAGGGGTTTCTTGCAGACACTAACAGGAGATTTGTGTCTGTTACCGTTTTCACCTTTTGTTACAGCTGCACAAACAAAAGTATCTCTAGTTGCAGAGCTACTGGTGCCAAGCTCTTCAGTGGAATCCATGATGGGGAGTGGACATGAATATGGAATACGAGGAAATTCAGGGGATTGGCCAATATCCTCCAAGAAACCAACAGGTGACGTGCTGCCATTTCTTTCTGTTTCCAGCACAGCGCTAGGTATTAGACCACTGATGCCATTGCTCTGCAGAGGGTCAACACACATGGAATCATCGTCATTGGGTGTGAAGAAACTTCTCCCGGTGTTATCATCATCTGTAAAAAGCCTGCGTGAACAGTGATGAACAGCCTCCTCTATCTTCCTTGTAGTATCTTCATCAACCATATCATGCGGCGTGCAACTCCCAGAGGCAGCAATCAGAGAGTCTGCGGGGGGAGAAAACTCGCTGAAATTTAAGCCACCACTGTTACCATTGTTCTCTGCACGAAGGTGCTTGCCATGCCCTGGCAACAAGCTCAACACTGCGGAATTTGGGCTAGGTGAATTGGCCTTCTCATGGTGTTTGTCCACACGACTGCTTTGCTGAGACTTCATAAAACAACGCTGGTGGTCATTCAGTGGAGACTGATTGCTATCAAGAGATTTGCTGCTGGGGCTTGCAGAAGAATGAGATGGAGAAGAGAATAGAACAGATCTGCTGGTATCAGATGAAGAGGCTCCATGGCTGCTACAGGGCTCATGTTTTTGCTCATGAGACCACCTTGCGAGAAGGCCCCACTCAAGAACCCCAACATTCAGTGCCTTGTCCTGAAGATGGTCAGCCGTCTCTTTGCGCTGTAAATATGAAGGAACTTTGGACATATGCTTGACAAGTTCATCAACAGTAGTTGCTTTTCGTGCAGGCCATGGTTTTGAGCTCTTCAAGCCTACATCCCCTTCTGCATTTCGAGGTTCTCGCTGCCTACGAATCTTGTCATTCTTCACAACTCTGATTCTATCTTCAAATTTTCCATCAATGTTTCCACTGGCTGCCGAGTCCTTCTGCTTCGGAACTTGCACTAATTGATCTGAGTGTGAATTACCCCTTTGACGACCTTCACGGCTTGATGTGATCTTCACATTCCTTTCTCTAACAAGCTGTCCTTTTGTCGCCATCTTTGTGACGGTTTAACATAACATGCACACCTTTTCAACTTATCTGGTGTATGAGCAACAGGAGAAATCACCACCTGACTAAATCCAATATCCTGAAAGGTTCAACAGAAAAAGATTCAGGAAACCACAATCTCTTAAATCCCGGGGCTCATATTCAGTCAAACAAGGAGCTTTTATATTTCTGCCGGCCAGAATACAAATTAACCGGCGTTAGTAATCAGCAATAGCACACAGTGTCGCTGTACAGATTTAATATTGTGTTGGTTATCTTAATTTAGAGCCATGAATCTGTCGGTGGATGATCACATCATTTTGTCTCCCAGGGATCCTGGGTTGATGATTTATGACGTGTCCCCGTGCCCTCAGCTGGTCGGGACTTGCAGACAGACAATTTTTGACATGATAATGTTCTAATTTGGATATGTTAACAATCTTAGATACAAAAAAGGAAAAGGGAACAACAAAGTTGGGAGGTCGGGGTGAAGCTATTCATATATTAGTGCAGACCGTGCGGTAGCCTGTATTAAAAAATATATAGTAGTGATGCACAAGTACAACGCACGGGGTCTAGCCAGCCTTCAATAATTCAGTCAAGGTACTAGTCCAGTATTAAATCTACATCGGACCATCTTTCCCCGTTTCCCTCAAGAAAAGAAAAGGGAACCTATTTGTCCATTTGATTTTTTGGTGGAGAACATGAGAAAAGACAAGACATAATCCTGTGAGCCTGTGTGAACGTGGAAGCCTGACTACCAGCCAGAAGGAAAAAAATTGTACAACTGTACTCGTACATATACAAGATAATACTAACAGAAGAAAGAAAAAAATAGATGATTGATTGATGGGTCATCCGCCGTGCCGGACACTGAATAACGAAGATAGACAAGAAATTGCGACTCGAATTTAGCATGAAGTAGATTAAAATAAAGTTTTCCTTGTTTGCGGACCAGTCCACAGATTGCATCACCCACGATGGGGGTGGGGGGCTGGTTAATGAAGAATCTACAATGTGGGATACAGCATTAAACCTGAACAGAAACCCAGTGTAGTATAGTACTACTCCACTCTTCACTCTCTCGCACTAATCCCAAAGAATCGAAAAAACACACATTACCCAGAAAGCAAAAGAAAACAAAACACACACAGCTGGAGTAATTGACAAACATACCAGGTAGAGGCAGGCCAAAGAAGTAACAGCAATCACTTGAAGAAGAGCCCCCAAATCATCAAGATCCGAGCTGGGGATCAACAGCAGCAGATCTGCAACAACAGAGAAGAACGCAGATCAGCAGAGCTCAACCCAGGCAACAAAGAGCCGCCGGCCGCCACTGCGCCACCCGAGAAGCAGAAGGCGCCTCACCTCACCTGGCGAGAAAGGGAGCGACGGGCAGAGAGGGAGTGAAGCGCAGGGAGGGAAGAAAGCCGCAGGTGGACACTGGGTAGATAGAGACCTGCAGGCGGGTGCAGCACGGCGGTAGTGGTGGTGGTGGTCGCACTAGTAGTACGCTGCTGCTGCTCCCGTTTCCTATACCCCGCCTGCCTATCTATCTATCGGTTAGTAGTAGGTGGGTGGCGGGTGGTGCTGCTGAGTTTCTACTTCTACGGTTCTATTTCCCTCGTAGGAGCGCCCTGCGGCTCGGTCTGGCCGGTAATGGTAGAAGTAGTGATTTGGGGGAGAGAAAGCGAGCGAGCGAGCCACTGAGCTGGCCTCCGTTGTCGTCGTCGTCGGGGGTCACGAGGAGGAGGCGGACGATCACACTGGAGAGGTGGGGTGCGATGGATCGGATCTTGAGGTGGTAGGAACGGGGGAGGGGTAAAGCGCGGGGCGGGGGCGGACGGCCGGGGTGGTGTGTGGTGGGGGGCCGGGCGGTTTTGTCGGAGTCGCGGCAGTGCGGGGGCGCGAGGCGTGTGAGGGTGGGTGAGGTCAGCAAGCGCCTGCTGTAGGCACGGCGCCCGGCGCGGGACGGCGACTTCTATCTACTCCTACCCCTACTACCTGTCTCGCGCCACCCATCCCCCATTATTGCTGCCCTTCACTTCGCCCCTCCTGTGTCTGTGCGCTGTACCGTGTCGTGTGGTTTTCTCTCGTGACCCGTCCGGCGCGTGCAGCTATTGTATACGGACCTGGTTTTCGCCGGGCCAAGCCAGTTGCGGATTAATTGACGGACGGCCGGACGAGCGCATTTCTATGGGTTTTATTTTTCAAAAAAAAGATGGTAAAGTGACATACGTGTGGCACGAAGGGGCCTGCGACCCTGATATTTAGCACACGATGTGTCATATAGCTAAAATTATCATACACCCCCTTCTCCTTCTAATTACATGCATGATTACATTAGGATGATTCACTCTTTTTTCATGTGCATTTTTTCTCTAATTACATGCATGCACTAGAAGATGAAAAAAAAATCTGATGTCATACTAAATTCACCTTTTTCAAAAATTCTAAATGTTTTGTAGCTCAAACATCGGTCAGATGCCAAAACAATTTTTAAATAAAAGATTCGCCGCGAGAACTAAATCCGATATTGGTATGCTGCGACGAACTTTTTTTTCTGTGCCAAAAATTACCACGCCCCGCCTACATAAGTTACCACACCTGTGGTATGCAACTTACCGTGTTATTTTCACATAAATTACCGAGGCATAAACACGGTTCTCTCACCTTCTCCACATGCACTTAAATGTATGTAATGACGTGCAAGGGGACACAAAGCTATTGCAATTCACGGTAAGTAGAGTATGTCGATCTCACAAGGAGCAGTGGTTGCACAGGTAACTATCAACCCCTCAGCTACGTCGCCATTTACATGGCTATGTGATGTCTCTATATTTTACACATTTTTAGAGCAATTCTTTTTTGTAACATCCCAAATTTTCAATTTGAAATGTTATACATAGGTAATCATATGCATATCATATTTTAATTGCATTTTGGTTGATCCTAGAAACTCTAAGCAATTCAAGGACCCACAGAGAGTTGGGGGTTTCATTTATTTTCATATCTGAATTTTCTCAAATTGAAAAGAGGATCATTTTGGTTTTATTGTTTTTCTCTCCGAAATATTTCCAATATTAAAATAAAAGAGAGGAGATAAAATGACATCTCCCAGATAAAAGAAATATTGGAGGGAAAATGTTAAAATCAAATAAATGATTTTATTTGGATTTTATTGCTATTTTATTTGAATTATAAAATATGCATTTTTAGCCAAAGAAAATGTTCACTTTGTTCTAAATATTTTATTTAGACGGTGAAAATTGTTTTTGGCATTTTTTAAAAAATAACAATATTTCTTTAGGATTTTTTTTCTTTCGGCGGAATTTTAAAAAAAAAATCTTTGGACCGACTAGGCCGAAG